CCTTCACAAAAAGTATTACCAGTGCAATGGTGACAAAATTTCGAAACGCCATTCTGTCGCTTAGAGTTTTGAAATAGATGCTTCATCTTCTTGCAGCCAACATGGCAGTTAACCTTGGCGTGATATCAAATATGTAAATGACCGATATGGAAAATGTGCTAGACTGCATTTAAATGTATTCAACTGCCCAGATGCTTTCACTCAAAAAACAACGCTGATAGGAACATGAAATGCTATTTAACACAGCATGCAAGTGTAGACCGAAGCTATCGATGGCTGAGTTAGAGCCAAAGTCTTCGGAAGCTTCAGAATATTATTGAAAGTGAGTCGTAGGATTATGGTCATCACTTAGTGTCTTGTGTCTGTCAAAAATTTACGGACCACTAAGTGTTCTCTACAAAAAATCAAGGGCGCCGTCTATAAGGGCTTCTACCTTCGAGAGCCCCTTATGTCAAGCCCTCCTTTTTTTACTATTTTTGGGCAATCTCCTCACCGCATGGGCAAGAACGCCTGAATATGCGCGCAAAATCAATACCCACTACAAAGCCAATGCGTAAGGAACCCTCAATGAGTTTTTCGAAACTTTTCTCTCACAGTTGTCATAGTAGATCGTAGAAGGAAAACCCATCAACCGAAATTATTTGGAAACTTACCAGGTCAAATCGGCACCGGTTTTCTCGAGTGTTTGATTGAACAAGCTCCGATGTGATTCTTGGATCCATGCAGTGACCAACTTGAAGAAAAATACTCAGAGAGTATCAAACAAGCGGTCCATTAATACAAACGCTGAAGCGAAACAATACCTCGCCAGGAGCATTGACGCATCCAATATGGTACCCGAATTGGAAAGAACCAAGTGTCACCGCAAAGATGGCAAACGCCAAAGAACCCGTCATCCGGCCCTAAAACGTCATTATTAGGGTGAAAGAACGAAAAATCCAGAAAAAAAAGACATGAAACTAACAAAACAAGTAAAAAAGAGTGAGCTCAAACAAGTTAAGCTCCATTATTCAAAATAAGCTCTAAACTTCTTTCTCCACCCTTTTGTTCTCTCTCCTTGCTGATGCTGAAATTCTAATTTCTATTCTCATGTCAACCAATCAGTCAACTTCATTTAGAAGTCAATTTGAAACCATTATTTCGAAAGAACCAATATGTAGGAATAATAAATGTCAAATAGATGTGTTGGCAAATTTATTTAGGAACACCTGAGGATCTAATTCAAAAAGTATTAGTGTAGTTTACCCAAAGTAATTCCCACAAAATTGGACGATATTTAACTTCACCTGAGTAACCTGTACATTCCTCAACGGCACATCGGCCGGATCGCTTTCTATAGTCATCTGAAGGTTAACAATTTAGCCAATTCAGCAAAGAAACGGCGAAAACGTACACGAGTGCAAATTTGGCCACGTTCCGATTACCCTGAACCATAGACAGAGGGGCTCCCTTCCCATTTTTTTGTCGCCATCATTGCAACATCTATACAGTCCAGGATCATTCTGCATAGGACCATATGTTCCCCGTCCCCCGCCTTAGGAACAATTGCTTGTACGAATAGAAACGATGGTGATGTTGAAGTTAAGGTTGACCCACTCTTATCTATAGTGTTTCAGAGTCATCAGTATCAAATCACGGCCATGGCTTATCCTAGTTGTGACAGATAAGGCCCTGGTATAAGAGAGTTTGAGAAGAAAATATCACTCCATCGTCAAATAGCCAAATTTCAAAAACATAGAAGAACTGAACGAATCTTGAGTGGGACAAAGTAACGTGCGTACGACAAACATTGACAATCATACAGTGACTAGTTTAGGTACAGTACGACTCTTTTACAGGTAACCGCCAGCGCGTGGTTAT